GTTTTCATACTATTCTGTTGCAAACAGTGGAAAATGACGAAATTTAAAACCATCCTAATTAATTGCACCGTAAAATCACTGAGAAAACTGACATTTCATCTACTTGTAGTGTTGACAAGAAAATCCATCTTAACTTCCGTTCTCAACAACATGGGTCTGCTTTTGTTTATCCTCTCAGTAACAAGCTCAACCTTCAAATTCTTGTATCTGACTACCATATATTTCTTTGGCAGTAGCTGTGAGAATTTGATGGTTTATCAAGACAATATTCTGAAGTGGAACATTTTCTAATCACCTGTCCGCTATACAACGTATAGATTTTGAAAAAGAGAAACTAGATTTTCATCACTCTTAGGTCTGAACAGTTTCCTCGAGCGTTCACCTAAAATAGTGTTTCTATATAAACTACTGTTCTTTACCTAACGAAGCACAGAAAGTAGAAAGCGGAGAAGCATTATTTAGCAATTACTTCACTAACGTCAGCAGGCATCGTCCACGGAAAGCCATGAGAATCCACATCAATCCATGACAAGAATCCGGAGCATGATTTCATTCTAAAAGAAAATAGAGAAAATCCTTGTCAATAATTACTGCCTTTTATTTGTGATGCACTAACAAGCTACACGTAAAATGCATATGAAGGTTAGAACTTGGAGAATAACCAGTTCCCAACAAACAAAATAATATAGAGTAAATGCGATTTTGTTACGGCATTACCGCATTACCGCATTACATTGGCGGGTAGTTAGGAGAAAATGTATTATCGTACTAGCATAGTATGGGTATGTATGTTAAGCATTATCTTAAACATAACAGAGAAAAGTTAGCAAACACGCAAAGAAACAGTTGAAACTTCTCAAAAATCACGTGGCAATTTGCATATTGTAACACACACTGCGGCGAGCGTGACCGAGCCTCCCGCAGGTCGTTCAAGGTCAAGCAAAGTATCCACACCCCATGTGTAACGTGTTCCAAATCAAGGACTGGAAATTACACAAGCTGGTATACTTTTGAATAGAAATGTGACCTCTACTGGAGGTCTACTTCAGTTTCCAAGTACCTATATTATTACTCTCATTAACAACTGTTATAAAACGTTTGCTTGATGTGCTGCAAGACATGCTCGTATATAGCATAACGTAGCCCCTTTAATAAACAGACTAAAAGAATATTCTTCCAAAAATCGCCTTTTCGATTGCCGAGGATGCCAAAAGAAGGTCCAGTGACAAATTCTTCAAAACAAATTACCAAGATCGAACCACATGAAAAAAGGTCACTAATCAAGGGCCTCTATGAGAAAATGCTTCACGGCTTCCTTGCAGATTTTCAAAACCTGACGATCACATTTTGTTTCACTTACTTTTGGACCAGTTTCGAAGCAGAGTGATAGGCAGGTAGGTAGGTTGCCTTGATTCATACACGATACAGTGACTTTATGAACTTTCATGGCAATAAAGTTGATTCTTCCAAACATCGTTTTTGTCTATAGCTCATTTTCGTTTCAATAAATTGATTATCAAATTCTCCTTTTAGTTTACAGGGGCGACGTTTTGCGACGAAGTTGGTGAAACGATGGACATTCCCAGCGATTCATGTTGCTCTCGTCAAAAACCGCAATGTCACTACGATACCTCAAAAAAACCCAGCTACGATTTTTACTGAAAAAAAAAAAAGATTACCAAAAGAGAAAATATGTAATACCAAGGAACATACACTCGCCATTGTCGTGTTAACTGAGCAAGACATCCTACTGCAGCTCATCGGTTGAAACTCTCAGGCGCCTTTGCACAGAAGAACCAACCTACAAAGAGGAGGAGAAAACAACTGATAAGAAACAACATTCTTTTCAAGAAACAAACGTTTGACGTTATTGACGCGCACACAGAGTAATATCGTAAGAATGACTGACCCCAAATAAAAAAGAAAACACCTTTCTTTTTCCGTTAACCAAACAAGTTAAGCTTATAGAAGGCTAACTCACGGACAAGTTTCTTTCGGGATCAGCCAGAAAACAACACTCAGAGGAGGTGTTGTACTTATCTCATCATCTAGTGGGTAAAATCACACGTTTGCATTTGTCAAAACAGTGCATGTGTGCTAATGATGACCTTTGTACCCAGAAAATCCCCTTCCCTAACTCGCCTTGAGATATTGTCATGATGAACAATCAAATTCTCCCAACTGGTGTTAAAAGTTATTTAAGGCGATAAGTGAGGAGATTTGAAATTTGGAAATTAAATGGATATGTTACCTGAAGTCATATTTTTGTGGATCACATCACTGGAATCTCCATGGTGCCCTCTTTTATTCCTGGAAAAGAACAAAAGAAGTATTTAAGCGACTTGCTTGTAAGTATTTTCGGTATTGACACTAGTAAACCTCACCCATCTCCCCTTCTCGTTTTGAAGCTAAACCAGGGCATACAAGTTTAAAATCGAGCTTTAGATAATTCTCGAGTAAAAGCGTACTTTACTACTATTCTGTAGAGTTTCATCAAACTGAAGGAAAAACAATATCAACAGAAAACCTCTCCAAAGTTAAAAACAATTCCCACTTATCTTGGAATGACTCTGACAGGCAATCCAGAAGAAAAAGCTAATTTGATTCACTTCACTCGCCTAACACAGCCACAAGAAGCCACCTCTGCAAGATACATTAATTCAGGCTCAGTCTATACCTTGAACACGACGTAGAAAACCGTTTACTTCGAGAACACCGTAACATGTTTGCTTTTATCGAGCCACGTGCTAACAATGTTTGCTTAGTCAAGTTCTTGCCGCAGGTACCTTGTTTCGTAACACAACCAAACATAGGGGCAATTCCAACTTCAAGCTTGATAGTGTTTTGCAGTACGTTATGGGCGAAGAGGTTGGTTTCCTTGGCTGAAACTATGAACGTGGATAGCAAACGTACGACCCAAGAACGCAACAAGACAGATATTTCACCACATGTATAATTTGCAATTAAAATTGTCGAAATTTGCGACCACGCACTGTATGTTTGTTTCAGTGTGACGATTTGATTGGTTCATCTCCTCTCAGTCATTAGAAGCGGCAAAAATTCCAAATTTCCTTTCGGAACATTCCTCGGTTGACTTTAAGCGTGAAAATGAGTTTTGAGACAACAAATTTAATTTGGAGGCTCTTGAATTATTCCTAAATAGCCAAACAGGGTTAGGGTATCGTGACATTGACAGTGAGGAAATCGTGAAACTGTGACTTAGCACGTGGCACGCGGCACACGTGATCACGCAGTTTGTAAAGGCCCCGTCCACACTACACCGAAGAAAATTTTAAAACGCAGTCTTATTTCTACGGTTAACTCTACCGTCCACACTAATCCGGCACGAAAGCGGAGTTTTTCGATTAAACTGGAGGAATTTGCATTTTAGTGTGGACGGAAAACGATGGCGCTACGATAATCATGATATTCATCTACTCGAGTTCTACTCAAATCCAAATCCAAAATGACCGTCCTCTGCCAAGCGTGGACGGAAAACATTTGACGCCTTTACAGAGCGAAGCCTTCGTTTTCAAATTCCTCCGCCGCAGTGTGGACGGGGCGTAAGTTTAACATACAACTTGCACGTTTCACAAAACATTCACGTTATTGAATGTGATTATCCAGGATTTTCCTTGATGGCTTATACGTCGGTCCTCTGTTCTGTAATTTTAGTTAGTTCCGTTACCAATGTATTTAATTTTACAAAGAACATTTACGCCACGAAACAACCTAAACAACATTACTATGTTTTTACGGCTAATGAACCATAACAGTAAATTTCTGTTTTTGAGAATGGAAACGTTATCTCAAAGTAAGGACGCTTCACCAAATAAAGCGTGTGAGAAAAAAAAAAAACTTTGAGAGTTGCAAAAAACATATATTTTAAAAGGCTGCTACCTAGAGACTCATTCCCAGAACAACAAAGTCCAGTCATCTTAACGCAACAACGAACAACGTTTTAAAACAATAATAAACATAGCTTTCCCACCAAAGAAATCTTAGTTCCGGCAGAGAAACCGCATATTAGTTCAACAGCTCCAATGTTTTTTTTTGTGAAAAACGCCCTACGGAAACCATATAAGAAAAAAACCCCGCCATATCTGTAATGGCGCCGGTCACTGTTTTCAAATTGTAGACAACAGAATGTTGACATTCTCAGCATATTCTTTGCCTTGAGGAGCGACTCCAGCCAGCCTGACAGGTTTGCATGTTTTATGTGGAGGAGTAAGTTCAACAGGACAAAACAGGTCATTCAAGCTCAACCAGATCAGGTCTGGCTCCACTGATGCAAAGTCTTTAAATGCACTGACTGCCACCTGTGAGAACAATTGCAGAACAACAAGATTTTCCTCGATAGAAAGTCAAGATAAATCAATAAATAATCTAATTGCGGGGATGTATATTTCAAAACCTTTTATTTTGTCAAGGAATATTTCAAGAATACCCTAAAACCCTGGGGCCCTTTTCTCGAAAGCCCCGGAAACTTTTCGGGCCCGTAAAGACATTTTTAGTTCATCTGTATCTAAAAACGGAGAAATGTATACGCCTGAAACGTGAGATATCGAGTTGAACACGAGAAGATAAAATTCGTATCCACAATTGGGCATGTAATAACCTCTATTTCTTAATATGAAGAGAGGTTCCCTTCGCTCAAGAAGTTTCAGGCGTATACACTTCTCCGTTTTTATTATATAAACATACTTATGACGACGTTTTTGACGATTTTCCGAAGATTTCCGACCACTCTCCGAAGATTTTCCAAAATTGTTCCGAAGGCGAGACGAACGCTTCCGAACATTTTCCGAGCATTTCCAAACAATTTCCGAACATTGCCGAACATTGCCGAAGACGACCGAAGAAGATCCGAAGATGTTTCGATCATAATCAACAAATTTAGGTGTAGTTAAAGGGACAAAAGAAAAATGTTATCAAAAAGGAATGATTCACAGTGTGAAAGAAAAAAAATAGTATCTTCACTGCACGTGATGAAGATATGATTTTTTAGTAAAAGGAAAAATCCTCGTATTTCACTGGTGTTTATATAATAATATGTGAATAAAACAGCTCTGTAATCGTAAGGTTCGAGATTTTGCTACGGCTTTACGGGCCCGAAAAGTTTCCGGGACTTTCAAGAAACGGGCCCCTGGTTGACTATCCTCATATATACCTTCAGTATTTTGGTTATTAATCCCTGACAAGACATGTAAAGCGCATTTGATCACGTATATGGGAAACGTGCTATACGAATAGATATATCATTATCATGATATATCAAAATCAATTCCCCGACACTTTAGGAGCTATCTTAAAACTTACATAATCCTGAGTGTTAAGAAACCTTCAATGGAATTCAGATATTCTCAGAAATTATGAAAAGTGATAAGGTATTTTAACATTAGACGACTAATTCTTTTGTCAACTTGTCTCCAATTTTGCTGCGACACAAGTTGAAAAAAAAAAACTGTCCAAGGTAACATACCTTGAAATGAAAATATCTCAAAACGTTTCCGTTGGAGTACGCATCGCTCAAAGTAAAATCAGTTTAGTCTACTTGGGCAAGTCGATCTAGCGACAATGCTGTAATAAACCCTTCATGCGTTGTCTAGGGCTGTTACACTAAGCCAATATTTCGTTCAACTTGTCTTGAACCGCGCAACAAAACTGAGACTACACGAAACGTTACCTGGCCGGCGTAGAGTCGGTATGGTTGAGTTATTTCGCTTTATGAATCATCACAGTAGGTCAAGGTTAGCTACTGTGACTTACTAAACATTTTACCAACCTGTTGAAGTTCTTTGGGCTGTCGACAGCTCAGATACTGGGCACAAACCCACACTACAGAGCTAAGCGTTGCTTCGCTGATCTCCAGCTGTCTACACAGTCGACCCAGGCTCCTCAATACAGCCAGCTGTTGCTTGAACGACTGAGATTGTGAGTAGACTGGGCCTGCCTTAAGACTCACTGATGACTGCTTGTCAAGGAAGGCAGTCATAGAAGGGATGGCATCTTTAATGACTCGACGCTGCATAAAACTTCCTGACGCTTCAGCCATCGAGCACAATACAGTCACAGCCTTGATAGTGACTACCTGCAGATTTGCAATGCAAATGAAGCTGTCAAATCGTTACCCTGAAGCTCACATAATTTCTCCTTATAGTCTCCATACCTTTTTTAGCACACCTAGAGAGAATTTAATACGTAAATGTGGGCGAGGTTTCTTTCAAGCCTAGGTGGCTTATCAAGGGTCCAGAGTCTGAACCACGAAGAAAATAGGAGTATTTTACATTCTCTCCGTCAATAAGGATCTAGTCCAACACAGGGTTGCCCCAGCACTGAGAGAAACAAGGGGAATTTAATATACATTGTATTAAATTAATTTAATTCTTCTCGTCAGCTTACTCTGCATTGATAATTTGCCAAAGAGAAGGTCATATTCATTGTTTAATCCACAAAAATGAGCCGTAATTATCAAAATCTAAGTTGTCTTCAAAAACAGCATGATACACATATACATTTGCATCCAATCTTATGACTGCACACCAACTTCCCGCTTTTACAATGATGCAAACCACGCGAAATTACGAAGGTCTACTGATAATCATTGCACATAGACTTCAACAAGTAGATAACTCCTTGAAGGTCGCCAAAATCTAGTTTAGAAGTCATGTAAAACACAAGACATGTGGCTTCAAATCTCATTATACTACAGGACTTTGTCAAAGGACNCATCTACAGACATAAACTTTATTGTCACTTATTGGGCCTTGATAACGCATCAAGCGTTGCTTACAATTCAGGCGAAACTCAAACTTGCAATTACTTTGTCTTACCTTTCGGTCGAGATAGACTCTGGCGAAATCCTCGCAAGAGTGTGGCAAGAGGAGGGAAACTTTGAAGTCCTGAAACAGTGCTATATCCAAATATATCCAACTGGTTTTTTGATGTGTTATGGAAAAGCTGTTAATCTTCAACATATGTGAAACTTAGAGTGGAGTAATGTGGAGCTCTTGTAAACTGAGAAGCAGCGGAACACAACCTGGTCAGCGATATAAAGCGGGACATAACTAAATTCGGCACTGTCTTACTTCACTCAAACTAGGGCAGCTTACGAAGAAAATACTGAAGCAAAATTCCAACAGACAAGAATGCATTGATAATTGTGGGCCAAAAGCATCAAACATTTCGGGAATTTCGGACGCCATTTCCCCGCGCTGTATCCGCAAAAATCCACGCAGCATGTACGCGCGTGTGCCGCACATGATGGCGCAATTTGTTCTAAAACTAGAAAAAATGTCCCATATACCCCAACACTAGAAACAGCGCGCGCTTACGGTCTCCGTCCCCGATTATGGCTCCTGGTATCATACAAGAACACTTCATGCAAGGAAACAATGGGACAATCAAAACTCTTTCAAGCAGTGCCAAATTTTAACTTAAGATCTTCAAAAGGCGTTTCATTAACAGAGCTATCTCAACAACCATCGCGACCCTTAATATAATTAATGGTAACTTGAAAAATGAAACGAGTTTGATCAACTTGTCTATGAGTCAAAACTAATTAAACCAGAAACATATCGCTTCTGATTAACCCTATAGCCACGCCTGAAATACATATATCCACGATTTAATAATGCGCATTATTTGTTTTCTATTTTGTTTTTTAGGATCGATCCCTACCAAGGCAACGAAGAAACCGGGCCGACTTGGAGGGCACTGATCAACCACTCTCGAAATCACGCAAATTGGAGACCCTTAGCAGCATTAAAAAGCTCAGGAAGACCGAGAGTGTTTTTGGTTGCCTTGCATGACATTCCCGAAACCGTAGAGTTCCTATGCAACTACAACGATACGGATTGGGAATGTCATGCAAACAGTCAAACTATTCCCTCTAAAGCCCTTTAAGGCCTGGATCAAGAATTTAACGGGAAACAGCAGAACCCGAGTAGTCACGCGGGTTATGGTTATCCTGAATTGTTTCACTAAGCTGACATGTATATTTTCTTCTGCTCAAAACTTATTTGAAGTCCTTTCTTACATGTCGGAGAATTGGTATAGAATTCCACTCTTGTTGATCAATAACGCAGGTGTTTTTTAACCAGACGCTTTGCAGTCGTTATAATGAGAAGCACTAGCTATATTGCAATTGAGCTAAATGTTCTGCATTTAAAGTCGTAGGAAATTCAATCGAAAAGATGTGCTCAAGCTATTCTGCCTTTGACTGCATTTCTAGAAATCGATTAATAGCTTATTACTCGCTTGCAGGCCTTTAGGGCGTGAAAATGAGTCAAGGTCTTTTTATCAGCCTATAAACGTTTCAGTCTATTTTCCTTAGCCTTTGTCGTTGTTGTTGATTTTTTGGCGTTTCTCAAGCAAGCGAGACATTTTGAATTTCAGAGTTATGGTGGTGCGCGACACAGAACTATGAACGCGTTTGCCGAAAAACATATACTTATCTCGTGATTTTTAGCGCATCCAGAAGTTAAAGTATTGGGGAAAGTGCTTATGTAAATGCTTGTTTGTTCAGTACAGATATTCAGTCGCCTAGATAGCCAAGTTTACACTACTTTCCGGCCGCAATGTAGATCCACCAACATGGTGGCTCCATACTGGTCTCTGTAAATTTGTGCAAAATATTTCGACGAATATCTGAAGTTTGGGAAAACGTACAGACTCAAAAATTAGAAAAGTGTCATCTTTATTATTCTCCTATAACATCACAATTTCTCGACTTTATCCACTAAATGGCTTGCGTGACACTGCAAACCAAGAACTGTTTTGCTGAGGTCAACATACACTAGTTTCTTTCAGCTTAAATGTACAATGATCCGCTACATGGGTTTCATTCTTGTAAAGACACATAACTCTGTTACAAGAAAATAACGGGAAAATATCGTTTAGTTCGAAATTTTAACTTATTATACTTTACGAAGTTTCTCAGAGTGTTTTACTTAAGTGTACTCGAACAGATACATTCGTAAACAAATTCTCTAACCTTTCCCCTCTTGTTCCTCAGACGGTCTTGACCGCCACAAAACACGCGCGATAAATGTAGGTTAATCTTTTATTCATATTCTAAACGGATGTGAGGGCTCCCTGTGAATCCGTGCTAACTTTTCACGATGACAACTTCTGTAAATTGCATGTGCTGTACGCATGCACAGGTGACGCATGCGCTTTAGAGACCAGACGGCGATTTGTGACTGAACAGGGAAAAAAAAAGAGCTGAGATTTAAACCCAGGCCTCACTGCCTGGGTAATTATCTACCTTTGTTACGTTTAGAATGGAGTGTCCTGGATTTCGTATTGAGGAGTGGTTCAGTTTTTGGGGGGAAATTAGTGACCGTCGACCATCTGCAAAACGAGGGATACGCTTATACCAAACGTTACAGGACCAAAATGGTTGACCTGCTTCTTTATCAACCACCACCAATTTTTCAAATGTTGGCTAGACTTGAAAAAGTTAAGGAAGTGACATTGTCACTAGGGACCAGGCAGGGTCCGCGGATCGAGGTCGGCCGATTCCCTCCAAACTCTAAGCATTTTTTCCCTATCAGATAAGATAACGACCGGTGGTATTTTTAGTAAAATGAAATAAATTTCATAGAATTTAGACCACCCCCCTAGTTTTTAGTGCTATTTTGGTCACGTGAGACGGGAAATTTGGGTAAACTTTCACGAATGATTTTACGTTTTTCGCATTACCCTTATTCATTTACACCAGACCATTATTTATTTATTTATTTTTTTAATATAAATATAGATGTGGCCCGCCTCGATTAGCCCAGGCTACCTGCGGGTTCGCGCTGTTGCTATTATCAAGCATTTTTAACTTAATCTGTATATCTNTTGAGGCAGGAGGCGTTGACAACTGTGCCAGCTGCTGCCTTAGCCTGTGTACTTGGCAATGTTGTGTACAACAAAGCTTTGGAGCTATTTATTTTTTTAATATAAACATAGATGTGGCCCGCCTAGATTAGCCCAGGCTACCTGCGGGTTCGCGCTGTTGCTATTATCAAGCATTTTTAACTTAATCTGTATATCTATTTCTGTAAAAATTGTAAATATGTGAGTCATAGTAGCAATAAAAGTTGTTGTTGTTAGTTGTTGGTAAGCCAAAAATGCAAACAATACCAACAGATACAAAATATCCATGCTGCTATGGCCTACTTTTAGATGCATCCTTTGTGTCAAAGATCATTCAAAGGGCTAGTAAGACAAAGTCATTTCCATATTTACCCTTGTGACATATTTCACATGTCTTGGAATTTCTGGCTTCTTGTCTGGCTGAAACTGCTCCTCCTCCACCCCACCCTCCTCAGGCTCTGATGTCCCCGTCCCAGGTTCCTCATCATCTAGGTATCCCAGAGATTGTTGCTTCCTTTTATGGTAATCCAGGAAAAATTCCCGAATCTGGTCAGCTGAAAGCTGCTTCTCCTCTTTGTCCAATTCAGATTGCTTTTTCTCTGGACAAATGCTGATTGGTTTCTGGACAAAACAATTAAACACATATTAAAACAAACTGAAAAATTGATATAATGAGTAAAATGTGCTGCAAATAAATCAGGTGGCTTTCTTTCAAAACAATATATGATATGTGTGAAGATATGAATTTATTTTTGAGTGGCAAAAACAAATGACTACTTTACGACCAAGTGCAGCAAGTAAGTAAAATATTTTTCTTATTCATATCTTCAAGCTTGTGTAATTTTCTTTTCATTATATAGTCATACTAACTGTTTGCAAGAAGAACTGTGAAAAAGGGGAAACAAAGTCACTGATATTTTCACCAGGGAGGACAGGGAAAATATGCCACACAGGTCCCGCATGTAGTTTCGTATGAATTTTTGTAAGGGTTTCATTTCCCTGTAAAACAATCGTGTCTTTATGATAAATACTATTCCTAACAACTATGCTGCATTGTACGAACAGTGTGATTTTAATTGCAACTCAAGGTTTTTTAATTATACAGAAATGAAATATGAAACAACACGGACATGCTTCCAGACACCCTACTGTAAATTATGTCAACATGACACTTTTAAATAGAAGACTCGACAAAAGCCTGATTAAGTTTCTGATCATGTTTGTAGTGTCCCCCTCAATATTTTGTCTTATTCAAAAAGCAGAATCAAAGGAACATCATGCCAGAATAGGACACTGAAATCAAAAGAGTTTCTGCTTTAAGGGCAGACAAGTCAGCTGGGTAGTTTTTACAAAATTGAAATGTGGTGAGTGAAACCCAGTTTTCCACATAATTCTCAAAATTAAACAAGACATGCCAGATAATACTACACCTCTTCATTACAATCCTTGGTTGTTTGGTCTTTTACTGGAGCTGGAAACCACTTCTTGATCATTACAACAAGCACATTCAGCACTTTCATCAACAGGTACATCAGCTCATCAGGATAAAGATCGATGACTGAAAATATATCCATAAGTGTGTCCTCGATGATGGAAAGGATACCAGGGTTACTATACTGAATCATCACTTTCAGTACACAAGGAGCTTGGCAGTTCATGAAAACATACTTGAAATCCAGTGAGATTGAGTTCACTAAGTAGTCAGCATTTCTTGCAATAAGTTCATCTACTGAGACATAACCGCAGCTCTGACAAATCTTAACAAGAGTCTCATAAGCTGAGCGACTGACAGTGGCATTGTCATTTCCTAGCTTTGCCATGATGGGGTACAGAACCTTCATCAGGTACTGCTCAAAATGTGAAGCAATAACTGTTGAAAACAAACCAATTGCTTCTAGTAACAGACAGCTGAGTTGTACATTATTGCTCAGAACTTCAAAAGGAAGAACTTTTGCTGGCTTTGTTTCTTGCTTCTTGAATGAGAGAAAATCTTTTGGGTCTGATGAGACAGGTTTGGGTGTGTGTAGTACTGGAGGATTTGAGGTCACAAGGTTCCAATTTCCATCAGAAATATACTCAGTGATTAAAAGTTCCACAAGGTTCTGAACTTCAGGAAGACTTTTGCTTTGATTTTCAACAATGCCTTCAGTTTTCTCAGTTCCTGAAAGAGACAAAAAAAGAAACCCCTACTGGTTAGTGTGCTGCACTTGGAGTGAAGTGGTTTGAGTTCATTACTGTATTCTTGGGTGAGAGACTTAACTCTCACAGTGCCTCTCTCCAAACCGGTGTAATAATGGTTGTTGGCAAGTTTTATTCTGGGAGAACATCTCTGTAATGGACCATCATCCCATCCAAGGAAGAGTAGGAAATCAATGCTCTTAGTCATGTGATGCTACAGAAACTGAGATACTGGTACCATTGAATCATGGAAAAAGGTGCTAGAAGAAATCTTTTATGACTATAATATCATTATCATTATCATTAAATAAATATTATTATTTAATTTTACTGTAAGCTCTGTAGTATGGGAAACTTTGCCATGACACACCCATAATTGAACCTACTTACATGTTGCTTACGAGTATTAGATGGAAATAGTTCACTAAGGAGCATCCTGTCAACCACTAACACTCAAGCTTGCTGTCTTGTTTCAAGTAAAAGAGTGCATGTTACTAAAAATGCTCATTACATTAATCTGCACTGTAATGTGTTTGTTGCATACATGCAGTACACTGTTATTCATCTCACCAATCAAGTTGTTCTCTCCATCACTTGTTCCTCCACAGGAGCCCATCACAATCTCACTCAGGATATAAACTGCTTGCTTCTGGTAGAGCTTTGACTCGTGAAACAAGTCCAAAAAGTGGTCAACTATGAGCTGAAGGTTGCCATAGTAACCAAGCACATGGCATATTTGGTTGACTGCCACCTTAACTTTGTCATCTCTAAAATGCTTGAAGTGGTATTTAGGATACTTGCTTGCGGTGAACTGGCTTGCTGGGTATGACATTGGATTTTCTCCTTTAGTTTCAGAAGGTGGGACAGCTGTTTCTGATAGAGATGGAGTTCTTTCTTCTACTATTCCTACATCACCAACATCAAACTCTAGAACCTGCAACAGTTTGAATAACAGTTACTGTAAATATCAGTATTCTAGAGCTTAAAATCAACTCTGCTTGTTAGTGTTCAATGCGTCTGAATGCAACTTACAACCAACTTTACACTTAACCTTGTCCAAAAATTTTGAAATAAAATATTTAGCAATAGGTATTGTTAAAGATGAGAGTTACGGACACATCTTCAAGGAAAACAATTTGCTGTGAACATCTCTGCCAATGTTTTAGCAAGTATGTCACGTGGCTTTGTCCATAATTTCCAGATCAGACATTACGTTGATATTGGACTAATTCATAGCGATTTGTTTACATCTAACTTGAAACCAATTTGATAATCTTCTTAAAGTTGAAAAAGCCTAAAATCCCCTACACTTTGATTGTAGTAACACTGAATATTACCATAAATAGTACAACATGACTACACATGTTATGCACATACAAAACAATCCAATTTTCCACACCTGTACCAGAGCAAGAGACAGTCTTTTGAGATAGGATGATGAATTCAGCAAGCTACTTAGTCTGTTACCAAGAAGACGCAAGTAACCGAGAGCAAGGTTCAGACTATGTATTTTCTTGTCATCATCAGCTGTTCTCATGACACGTGGAAGTGCCGTCAACACCAAATGAAGGTTCTCCTCTAACAATGAGTTGAGTGAACTGGGACCTAAATTAATGAACAAACAAACAAAATACAATTTTTGTATTGACCCTAATTCCAACTATTAACAACATCTTTATTTATCCATAGCATCCACTCTACAGTGCACCAGAATATGTTAATGTAAATATGTATGCAGTGCAAAGTTGAGTCATGTGTCATGTTGCTTCAAGTTTGGTCAATACAAAAAGGTGTGGGAAAAGAAGAGGATGCCAGAGGAGAGGATCTCAAATTAGAAACTTATCAATAACTTGTGTTTCTATAACACAATAATTTTCACATGAAAGTACATGTAAGGTCCACCTTTTCACTATGCATCCCCACTTATTTTCCAATCATGCATGTACATGCATGTCAGCAACTTCCAGTGAACCAGACACTAACCATTTCTTGAAAACTAGATTCACACTCTAAAGAGTGGTAAAGACAAAGGATTTTTTTTCTGGGTCACTTGATTGATCAACCTTTTCAAACTGTAGTCAGATTACAAAATAAAAAAGCTTATAAACAGAACTATCTACAAAGTCATGTCCAAACTAAGATACAGCCTGAAAGCAGGCCATATCTAATTAGGTAGGGGAAAAGTGGAGGGGAAGGAAAAAAGAGAACAAAAATTGAATGGTAATAAATTTTCATCTTTTCAGAAGGTGCCTTTGAGGCTGACATACAAACATTCTGAGAAAATTTGTGCAGAATCTCTTACTCTATCTGTTTCCTCCCCCTCCTTTTTTCTAATCCCTATTAGTATAAATCTACTAGCATTCTATTACAAATGCTGTTCTCTTATTGGCTACACTACTCACTACCTATTCTGTTGTAGACAGTGAGAAGCGTAGCAGTGTGGGCTTGTTAACAAAATGACAATATGGCTTTGGCACCCCGCTAACCTTTAAGGCACCAGTTCCCAAGCTCATCTATTTGCGATGAGTTTAATACAGGTTTTGAGAGACTTGTATATTTATACTAAAACAATTAGACTATTTGCTCTTGATTTCTATCTGTGATAGAAATCTTGAACTCATAATCTAATTGTTAATTAGGGAGACTACTTACAGTTAACCTAGATAACAAGTTGCTCACCATTTTCAAGTCTTTGTGATAATTCCTGTAATGCAGTTCCACTGATTGAAGCAACCTGTGAATAGTCATCTCCAATCAGTCCAACCAGTAAGTCAACCATGGTAGAAACACAAGCTTGTAATGAGTCTGTACAGTTTGCAAGTAGTTTGTCACAAAACTTTGCCAGTGAAAGCTGTACTTTCCAGTTTGGGTGCGCAGAAACCATGCTCAGTCGCTCAATGACAATTTTTAACTTTGATCCTGTATCATGAAACCATGCAATGCTTCTATTAACACTCAAGTTCCTTACTTTATCAAGTTTTTCTGGATTTGAGTTTAAATTACTAGCCTCTGAATTTTCCTGTGATTCACTCGATTTGTTTTCTGTCGCCAGTGAAATAAGTTGCGAGATGACATCTTTACTGTCTGTTGGTTTTATTGGCATATGCCTATCATTCATCACCAAAGTGAGGACGTCACCCCACAGGTCAATAGCTTGCATGACAATTGCATGACTCTGTTTACTATCTCCTGTGATGATTCGGCATAGAGTCATTGATATTCCAGGCACAAATGACGCAAATATTTGTGCCACAGAACCTTTAACTGCAATTTGTAATGCTTCTGCATCTTCATCTTGACCTGGATCATTACCTGCACTGGGATCCCACCCAAGGCTTTCACTACAGCAAGCGAGGTAACTTAGGCACTCAAGAGCACTCAGTCTTACATTCCTGGCTTTCTCCTTTTCAGACAGTGCCAAAAGGATGGTAACCGCGTGCCCCAGGATAGGAAGAAGACGCGGTGAATAGAACGCGCATTTCACCACGAGCGAAGTGCCTTGAAGCAAACGAGATATGCACTTGACAATAGCTAGTTTTAGCTCCTCAGGAATATCAGCTATGGCTCCAGGGCCTCTTTCCGTTGAGCTGAGAAGCATGCACAGATAATTAAACATTTCTTCAAATGTACCGAGCTGACAAACATGTGCACGGGTGAAAAGAGTTTCAATGCAACCAACTGCGGTTTCTTGTACTTCATTGGTAAGATTTGCGCTCTGTAACGCCAGTTTCAATGGAAACAACACATACTCGACCAGCTGTGTTAGGTGCGCGGGATTTACAGCCCGCAGTTTAGCCGCTAGATCTTTGATGTTCTGAGGTGACGGTTCCTTAGATACCCTTATACAAACAGGACGTAGCTCTCTAAAAGATTCACTTGGATCCGGCCCCATGCTCTTATTCATTGCACTGGATAATTTCTTGAAAGACTCGAACACAACACATAGTTCTCCCAATCTCCCGCCATCTTGGTTTGTCAAAATATCTACTTCATAAAAAATTTCATATTGTGTCGCTTTCAGCGCAACGGAGTCTCTTCATGGGGTCTGGGAGCCAGACTTCCTCACAAGAGGGGCAAGGGGTGGGCGTGACGTGGGGTGTAGTTGGGTGAGGTTCTGAATGGTATTAAAGCTGAGGCCAATTGGCTTTGCATTCTCAGATACCCCAGTGACTGTAGCCGGGAGCGAAGAAGGATGGCTGTTTTCACAGGCTACAGTCACTGGCACTATATGTAAGCTTCTGCAGATTAGTTTCCATAGAAACCATCACAAGAGGCTCTAATGTTGCCAACCATGCGTGGCAAAACAATCACTCCATTGATTTCGACAATGCTTGTGTCATTGACAAAGGCAATTACCGCGTTCGAAAAACANCTTCGGGCTTACAAGGAGGGGCAGGGACAGATGCCTCCTGAAGTTTTTCAGAAATGTTCTAAAAAAGCAGATTGACTTTGTAATGGTGAAACTTTTTAGTTGCTGTTTATTCATCCCTTGTAGAAATTTTGACTTTACAGCTGTCTTCGTTACATGTATGTCATTAGACATTGCCAAAGCAACTGCATTTTGATATACTCAGGTTAACCGAAATCTTTTTTGACAGAATTTCTTCCAGTTTTGGTGACTAACATGTTACTTTTTTGCATTATTTTGGGTTTTAAGTTTTCCATTAACTAAAATTTTAATTTATTATTTTCTAACTTGCTGAAAAAATGATGAAATCAGTGATGGTGGCATGCACATTACACCCTTATGCAACCAAGAAAAATACATGTAAGCAAGCTGTGTAAATTTATCTGTATGCATTGTCTGTGCATGTATGCGATATACTCCATGATCTGGCCATCCACTTTGTAGGGTCTCCACATAAGCACTTATTAAAGCGACCAGCAAATATTGCTGTCCAATAGTCCTGGTATGTGAGGTGCTCTTGAGATGAATAGGATTTATCAAGTAAAAATAGAACTGTAACCAGGATAAGACATATTAGAATAAAAACGTTCTCTGGTTAAGAAGAACTATTCAAATGGCTCTAATGTTGCCAACCATGTGTGGCAAAACAATCACTCCATTGATTTCGACAATGCTTGTGTCATTGACAAAGGCAATTACCGCGTTCGAAAAACACTAGAATCTTGGCACACAGCAAAAACCGTCGACGCGAAAAACAACTCAAAACCGTTGCCTAGGCAATACTCAATTTTATTGTAATCAGGCCTCATTTACATTTTTATCTTCTAGCTTTTTTCACGCTTGTTTTTATTCTCAATTTTTCGCACCCCATTCGTATATATTTTCGCTTGCGCGCCACATTTTTCATTCGTTAAAGGCTATAGACTGATAGCCGAAAGCTTATGTTTTTAATATATTTTTAACCAGAGAACGTTTTTATTCTAATATAAATAATATTGGTGATTTGGTCCAAGTGACTGACATGAGCAATTCGTGGGTGTTAAATCACTTCATCCCACCTCATCTCTTGTTTCATGGAGCACTCCTGCCACTCCTCCCAGACTGGACTTGTTTACTGGACAGATAACACTACCAACTCTGAATCTTTTTCAAGTGGATTCGGTACTTGTTTTGTTAACAAGTAATCACTGAACAGTGATTTACCTGTTGGATACCATTAGCTGTTTAAGAACAGGGTAGGGGTGGTGGTGGCATCATTGTAATATTTGTTCATCTCCGGCCTAGCCTGCGAAAGAGCTTGGGAGCCAGCTAAGAATGGTGGATGACAACGACAAACATTCTATTCATTCATGTTGCAGAGGCAGGTAACAATCTTTCCCAAACAACTCCTGTTTTTCTAGAAGGAATATGAGGTTTCTCTTTGTTTTTCCAATGGTTTCTGTGAGATGTGAAAAAACCTTGCATGATGTTTTAACTCTTCATTTCAGCTTGCATCACTAAAGGAAACATCAAAAATGTATCTAAGGATCTGCTGAGGCAAAGAGATTGCCCACTCATACATACATGGATAACAGTAAACTTAGAAGTTTAAATAGCTAACAGTACTTTCTATAGGATTTGATTGTATGGCTGCAATAAAGCAGCCCCTGTCTTAGTGCAATAGAAGAGCCATGATGGATCTTGGATCTTCATCAGCTGAAGTTACTTGTATCGTACAAGCAATATGTAGTGGTCAGTTTTATAATAAGTTGTTTGGAAATTGGTACCTAACTACCTTTCTACCTTCTCAAATGACAAAGGCTTTATTTTCTTGTTTTACTGTCTTATTTTGTAATTTTTATATAGACTTTTAGAGCATTTGACCAACCTCCCCAACCCTGAACCCTCCCCTCTAGATCAACCTCAGACAGAGGCTCATAAAAACTTCCTCTACAGGGCAAATTATTTTTGAAAACAACTTTTGACATAGCTGGTGATTCAAAACAGACTACCTGCCAGAGCTCAGGTGGGTGCCAAGTCTTATTCAAAGCACTATTAACACAAGTTAGTATCTTCAAGATCAAAGAAGTAATTAAAGAAAACAAAAGAAACTGAAATCCACTGTAAACAATCACAACAGAGCACCCACTGGAGCCAAAACAATGAAGCTGAGATCCGGGGGTGCCAGGTCTCATTCAAAGCACTGACACAAGTTAATATTTTCAAGATAAAGGAAGTAACTATAGGGAAAGAAAAGAAAAGAAAAGAAAACAGGAAAAGAAAGCTACTGGGAAAAATCCTAAGAGGATGGTCTATTCCAAGTGGTTACCATGCCATACAAAGCACTTATACCAGACTGCCACAAGCACCTTGGGCATGTAGTAAAATAGTTTAAATTTATTATTAACTTTTCATTTCATATTTTCAGGCATCAGAACTAAGCAGTCATTAAAAATTTCTCCTTGTGTGTCCATTCCACCAAATACCAATAGAATTGTTAGACTCTCATCTGCTTTTGTCTTCTCAGAAGCACTATCATCTGTAGGAAAGAAATAAAATCACAATTATGGTACTTTTTTTACTTTTTACTTGTGCGAGAAAGAGGTAGGGAGGGTAAAAAACGACAAGACTTCCTTAATTGCTCTAGTTAGATGTGAAGACCAATCAATTGAGTTGCATCAATATTAACATTTAAATTATTAATGTTTAGAGTGCACTTAATATTTATTTATGTGAAGCAAAGTGTTTTTTTATGGTTGTGTATGTGCTTTAGACTCAACTGAGATTGGCCTGCATTTCTGCTGGTGTTCTTGAGCAAAACATTTGTACTGGTCAACAAAACAAGAATGCTACACTAGCATTCATATGAGCACTAGCACTAGTCATTTCATACTACAATGATAAGCCATTAACACAGCTCAATCCTCAGTTTCATCATGGCACAGACTGTGTATCACAAGTACCTGTTGGCTTGGGAATTTCCACAGTGCAGAGGGTGTGGTCAAGTCGAGGGGCTGGACTGGGACCATCGATTGGTGTTCTTGTCCATCTCAAGGTTTCTAAAAGGCAATAAAAAAAAATTATTCTGGTCATGTTAAATAAAAATAAAAATACAAACTTACATTAAACTTTTTATGTCTGTGGACGAAAACCCATTTTATCTGCACTAAAAAAAGTACGTCAACAAGAATACAATAGCCATTTATGTGTCCTGAAAGCCAATACCTGCATAGTAACTGGATACATCCAGGATTAGATATATACACATACACATGCCTGACAATACAGTGGAACCTCATTAATCTGGTCACTGATGGGCTAGAAAATTCTGGCTGTATTAACATGCCATACTGAAGGGTTTTTAAATAAGAAAATAACTGAATGAGCTTTTGTTGAAACTAGAATAAAGTGGTTGTAATAAGGAGGTGGACGTATTAACAGGGTGGTTGTATGGCAGGGTTTCACCGTACATGTAAATTTATATACACTAGTGCCTTGAATTTCTTGACTGAGAAGTCATGTTATAATGCGGCTCTATGATTTAATATGAATAAACTTCTTGATATATATCTTTTCAATGCTGTATCAGATCGAAAAACCTCATTTAATGCTTCACTCTGTAAATTTGATACAATATGAATTGATTAACAATGATTTAGTAATACATAGACAAGTAAAAACAAACGATATAATCTCCCGACGTTTCGGCGACCTCATGATGCCATTATCAAGGGTACAAATGAGAATTAAATTAACGAATGCGAGTTCAAGAGTTATAACTAATTTACATAGTGGAGGTGGCTACACAAATACTTTAGCACAGATAGAATCCGTTTGCACGTTCAAACTTGGTGTTAATTGTTTGATGTAAAGCATCTCTTGACAAGACAATCGAATTTGTTCATGCATTTCTTGAGAACTTTGAAACAGCTAAGGAGGTCCTCAGGGACAGCACATGCGTGGTCGTTGTCATAGTGCTTGCGTACTGAAGATGACATGCTTTTATGGCCATCCACGTGGGCATGTAAATGCCCGCGCGTGTAGCCAACATAGCTCCCTGTATCACACAGGTTACATTTAAACTGATACACTACGCACTGTTGATTAACCAGCTGCGGTTTGGTCTCACATTCTTGAAGGT